GTAGTTCAGACTGCTCTGGAACTCACTGTGTAGCCCAGGCTGGTCTCGAACTCACAGCGATCCTCCTGCCTCAGCCTCCTGAGTACTGGGATTATAGGTGTGCACCATCACGCCTGGCTCAAAGTAGTGATACTTTTGATGTCAAGACCTTTAATTTAATATATAAAGTTTTATTAATGATGCTATGATGAACACTATACATTTTTTTTTAAAAGTAAAACCAAAGTATAAGTATGTTATTCTACTCCTTTTTAAAAGATTTGCTTTAAAAATTTACCTCATGAGCCAACATTCTGTATAATTCTTCTTTTGTAACAGCTAGTCGCTCCCTGTCAATGCTGTCCACCACAAGAATGATGAACTAAAAAGTGTAAAAAGAAAAAAAATCAAATTATTGAAAAAGTTTTTGTAAAATCTGATGTAATTGGCTTCACATGGTATCATCATTACTATATGTAGTGTTTTTTTTTAATCACAAGGGGATTATAATACAGAACCATATAATTCAATGTTAATAAGAAAATGGTAGCTAACTACATTTACTTTATTATTTTTTTTTTGGTACTCCGGACCTTGTGCTTGAGAGGTAGACAGAACTACTGAGCTAAATCCCTGGGCCCCAAGTTTCCTTTTTGTTAAAGAAAAGTGCTGCCCGAATAATACTGTGTAACAATACTTCTATAATACTTCTTTTCAAATATGAGTAATAAAAACTAATTTTAAAAAATAAACAGTAATTTAAGTAATATCACTTCAAAGTATTCTATCATTTAACAATTGGAAGCCAGGCATGGTGGCGCATGCCTGTAATCCCAGCACTTGGGAGACTGAGGCAGGAGGATCGCTGTGAGTTTGAGGCCAGCCTGAACTATATAGCAAGTGTCATAAAAAAGATTTTTAAAATTGGTAATGAATTACATAAGTATAAGATAGACATTTAAAAAAATTTATGCACAAGACATTTATACAGAACGGGTATAAACAAAATAGTCAAATGTGAAGAAAAAATGTGCTGAATTATATACATCAGCATTAATATGTGAAAAAGAAGATGCAGGTGAAATTAGAGAAAGGCAAGACAGCCAGAAGAACTGCAGAAATCTATTGATGAAGGTACACATGAAAAAAGGTCTTGCACATTAAAAAAAATAAGACGTATAAGGCCAAGTTTAGTAAGTAAGAATAAGGTATGTTGAAAAAGAACACCTGCATCCAACATGCAGAAGACAAAACTTTAAAAATGAGGGGCTGGGGAAGCTGGCTAAGTGGCACCACACCTGCCTTGCAAGCACAAGGTCCTGAGTTCGATCCCCAGTACCATACACAAAAAAGAGTTTTAATGTATACAGTAGGAGAGTGATAAGAGGATCAAGTTATAGAGATGACCCTAAAATTAGGGAGGGCCGACTACAGTAAACTTAATATACAATCAGAAGGGCTTAGAGATAAAGGAGAAAGAAAACAAACAGACAAGCATGGTAATGAAAAGATGGAGAGAAAATACTGAGCAGTCACTGAGTGAAAGGAGAGGACGGTGTCAGGAACCGGCACCAGCAGCGCCCTGTTCATAACGGGCACATTGTAGCTACAGGACGTCACCTCCACGAACAGTCTTCAAAAATCAAGATGACAAGTGTCAAAGAGACAGTCAAACCCCACACACAGTAAGTTCCTGCCTGGAACCTGAGACTGCAAGTGTTATATCCATGCTAGTGTTCTGCAAAGAGCCTCTCTTCTTTGCAGTAAATCGGATATTCTTGTAGAGATAGTTTATTAGATGAACGTATCATGCAAATATCATCAGTCCTAAGTCTTCTAGAGTTTCAGCAATTTCAAAAACCAGCCTTTGAAATGCTTCAAGCACAGTGTCTGTGGATCATACAGAATCAACTTTGGTCTGCTCATCAAAGAAACCTGCTGTTTTCAAAGCTGGAGTTAACTATGAACTGTGAAAAATGTACCTGTGCTGTTTAAGTAAGTCATACGGTAGGCTGCTTTTTTTTCCTCCACTCTACCTAGCTCAGAATGTTATTTTACTCTGCATGCGTGTGGTGAGCTAAGACCACAGCATTTGCTTATCGCTCTATTCTGCCCGTCCTCACCCTCCTATCCATGTAACATTAAGCGCTGAATATCTGCCACACCATCTGGCTTTTGCTACTTATATTCAGCCTTAGAATGGACACACGCACATACGGTCTTACTACATAAATCCAAGAGAACACGTTGTTAGTTTAAGAAGGTAACTATGTGCCCAGTTCTTTGCTTTATATCCTCAACAACAATTTGTAAAAAGTTTTCATTTTAGAAAAAATACATACAGGTAACTGGTTAGGCGTACCTCTTTATAGTGAAAAAAATGCTAGTGTTCTCAGTTATATACTAGTACATACTAGTATTCTCAGAGATAAACTCGATACTCTGCATGGTCTTAAAAAAAACCTGTCCTCTCTCAAAAAGTAAAAACAAAGGTAGACAGTAGCTCAGATTTGTTCCTCGGGTTGGGTCTGAACTATTAAACACGTGACAGAGGAACTCCAGGGACGGTCTGTAATTTTACTTCCATTACAATAGAAATGATAATTCTGAACGTCTGTTACTTGGAAAGCTAGATACTACACCTAAATATTTTATTCTTCCCCTAATCAGGCCTTCTTATAAAGTCACGAGATCTTGGGAAAAGCTATGAAATTTCTTCATAGTGTCAGATTTCTCCAACACTTAGAGATGTTACCGAACTATTAGAGATATCACAGAATTACTGCAAAAATGAACTTAAATGGACTGGCCAACAGTGCTGAACTAAAGAAAGCTCCCCGTACTCTTCCTAAAAGGCCATACCTCTGTGTTGGAGTAGTATGTGTTCCAGGACGACCGCAGCGACTCCTGGCCCCCGATATCCCACATAAGAAAATGAGTGTTCTTCACAACGATTTCTTCAACATTGCTTCCTATGGTCGGAGAAGTATGAACCACTTCATTCATTAAGCTGTTGAAAGACAGATACCGTTAGGACTTTTTTGTAAATCTTGAATACTCAAAGCTTTTTTTTTTTTCTTTTTTTGGTGGGGTTTTTGAAGACAAGGTCTCACTACATAGACCAGGTAGGCCTTGAATTCGCACTGACCCTCCTTGCCTCAACTTCCCAAGTGGTAGGATTTCAGGAGTGTGTCCAAACTCTGCAGCAGATTATTGCCCTGTGTTTTTACACTTGTTCACGAGGTAGCGGCCATCGGCTAGCAGGCTACCCCCAGCTTTGGAGGGCATCTGTGTGACAAAGTTCAGACCTAGCCGTAGAACTTCCCTCAGGGCTTACTTAACATATCCTCTTGCCCCACCCCCCTTAGAGGTAGGAGGAACTGAGGTATGGATTGAAGCCAGGGCCTTATAGATGCTAGTCAAGGGCCCCACCACTGAATTACATTCCTAGCCATCTCTTGAATTCTAAATATATTTTTGAAGCTATGTGCAAAATGATTTCAAGAACTGTTTGTGTTTGATGCCTAAAGGCTAACTTGTATTAAAATACATAATGACCAATCAATGAAAGTGTTTTAAAGAAAAACAAGTAGTTATGTGACTCTGAAAAAAATGAACCATCATAAACTAATGTTTGTAAGCAAAGCACCTAAAATATATGTTATGCAGTGGGGTAAAGTGAGTATTCCTGGCGAGGTCCCTGGACAAGACAGGTATGGTGTTTCTCTTGAAGTTTCCGATCTTTTCTTTTTGCAAGCCGGGAAGCAGTATTTGATTGTCATTATTGTAGCCAAACCTGGCTATGTCGAACAACTGCAAAGCTAGGAGTCAGGAGAACAGTAGCGTCTTAGAGATATCAATCTATTTACATTTAATTCAGTGTGGGAAGAACTAAGTGAAAGTCACTTTATCACCTTACACCCAGGACTATAATCTGTGCTTTATTTTACTTTAATATTAATTCTTTCTTTCAAGGCCAGAAAAAGAGCATCTGTGAAGGCTGTAGGAAACACACAGCAGGGTTGGGGATTTAGCTCAGTGGTACTGACGCCTGCCTTGCAAGTGCAAGGTCCCGAGTTCGATTCCCGACACCCCCCCACACCCAAAATTTAGAAAACACAGCAGTCTATACACTGTTTTGTAAATTTTGTTTAGTAAAATAAAAAAAGTTTGTTTTTGTATCACATTATAATGAGTAAGAACAGTATTTCATTGTTATTATAAAAAGTTTCAATAACGAGAATAAAAACTGTTAAACAATACTTACAATTGATAAAGAATGGTGGTTTTCCCTGCATTATCCAGTCCCACTATAATTACTTTGTGTTCTACAAAAAGAAAGCAAACCAAAATTGCAATTACATGCTGTCAGCAATGATTATTAGCTAGTTTGTTAATGAGGACTATTTACTGGGTACTGCTGAGCAGAAATAAAGAACTAAAAGGAACAATGAAAGAAACTCTGATGTTAAGGGCTCGGCTTAAGGCAGATGATCTGTTAGGATGTTCTCTATCCAACTCTCCTGTAAAGAATGTGGGAAAGAGAAGAACTCAGTTTGGAAAGGGTGATCCAAACAGCAATTTAAATTATGACATAAAATGTACAGTTAAAGAAGTCTCTGCACACCTGCTCAAAGTCTCGGTTCATCGAGCTGCCTTTATGTCAAATCGTTTCCACATGTAGAAGCCGCGCCACCTACAATGTACCAGGGTATTATCTTCCTTTCACTTAAAAAAAAAAATCTCTTCATTCAGAGCTGAAAACTGTCACCAAGACAGACATTCTCTCAACTGGATTATCATTCCTTCCAGTAATTTTCAGAAATGAGAAGAGTCGATAGTACCTTTTTTCTATGTGGATTCTACAATTTTTCTGAATGGATTCTGTTTTCACTCTTTGTACAGTAAAAACCTCTTCAGTCCTTTCCTCTTCCTGGAGCCATGCATTAATAGTCACATAAATAGGTAAGTAAAGTCGTTCTTCTCTGTCAAATGGTACAGCCTCTGAAATGCCGGAATGCAGAAGAGAACACCCCAGATACTATCATTTCTATATTTAAACCTATACAGAGTACATTAAAGATTCCCTTTCTCCAGGATAGAACTGCTTAAAAAAGCAACTAGGGAACTTCAGCAGACAGTGGTAAGAAAGTTGCCAAGAGAACCATCCATCAAACAGTCAGTCTGATGCCTGTAATCTGCCACGTGCCATTTTGGAGCCCTGCATCTCTTGATAAACTGAGAAATGAGAAAATTCTGGTACTACATCTTACTAAGTATCAGGTTGTATTTCTATGACTATCATCCACACAGAAAAGAGGAGCCACTGTACACAGCCTGTTCTCGAGCTGACTCCATCTCCACAAGTCCCTCTGTATGCCCTGCCTGTGACACTGCAGGACCTGAATACCCGGTCCCTGGGAAAGCTATTTTCACAGTGACAGAAGCTGCTCTGTAAAATAAAGCAAAGCAAAACTCATTTACCTATGGTAGCTCACTATTACTCTCCCTCTCACTCCTTTGGTTCATATCCCCTAATTTCTAACGCTGCAAATCCCGAAATATGCACTTTGTTCTTCCTTACAGTGTATGAACAAGAGCTTTCTCATCAGTGGAGGAGCAAACAGCGCTAGGCCCCAGGCACTCTAAATCGGGTAACAGAGTGAAACCCCGCGGTCCAGCATCCAGACAACAGCTGCTCCGGAGCAGTAAGAAGGAAGCCGCTCGTCCACACAAGTGCAGATAGTCCTGGTGGAGGGCGAGAACGGAGACCGAGCAGATGGCTCAGTGTTGAAGTAGCTCCAGTGAACACCTGAGGCCATTTTCAAACAATCCTGCGGCACATTTTGTACTATGTTGATGATCACAGTATTGAGGGCTGGATGGAAAAACTTGTAAATAATGCATCACTTTGAAAGGTTGGTCCCAAATGTGAGCCAAAGGGTAGCAAGCCCAGAAAGAACACAGCAGGTGGATTTCCCTGAAGTTGTAGAAGTTTCAAATGTTTGACTAACTCAAGGTCTGGTTCTAGTTCCTCCCCTCCCCACGCCAGCAACGACAGGGAATTCTGGCAATGAAAACAAAACACAATTTCAACTCCATCTTACGGTGAGGGTGTGCACAATTATGCTTTGGATAAAAGTAGACCTTACTGTTGATGTCAAAACTATCATCAGGAACCTGAATCCACATAGATGGATAACAAAATTCAACAGAAAAGGAACAGCTACATGCTTTGTGCAAGCTCTAAAACAATCCTTAGCTCATCTGTGTAGTACGAATGTAAGCAAGCGAAGCCTTGCTCTGTTGGATAACTTTTAATTTTTGCAACTGCTGCTGCTGTACTTACCTGCTACTTGAGTATGTTAATGACCAAAGATGTCACCTTACACGTGCTAATTAGGGAAGTTTTTAGCCTTTCAAGGAACAATGAAAAAAAATATGGACAATGACAAGGAAGGGGTGATCAAAATATATGGTGAATCTTTAAAAAATTTATTACAGCAAGACTCATTATCATTAATCTCCCTCAAAATACAGTATCCTCCCCCACTTCGAACACACTTATCCTACTATCCTTGCTACTTGCTGAAGCAGTCGTGTGAGCATTTTTCTCAGTCTTTCAAAGAAACAGTGAATTTTGTTTTGTTTTGTTTTGTTTTTTTTTGAGACAGGGTCTCACTCTGTAGTTGAGACTGACCTGAAACTCACTATGTAGCCCAGGCTGGTCTCGAACTCGCAGCGATCCTCCTGCCTCAGCCTCCCGAGTGCTGGGATTACAGGTGTGCGCCACGACGCCCGGCCTGAAAACGGTGAATGCTGCTGGCTCCTGAAAACACTGCAGTGGCTCTTCATCCACCTCATTCAGCAATATGGACCATGGGGCTTCTGGTTCTTTCCCGGAGTCAGAATGACCACAAAAGGTAAACATTTTCACTGATTCAGGACACCAGAGCAGCTACGACGGAGCAGCTAACGACACAGAAGAGGATTTCAGAAAGTGGCAAGAGTGATGGAGCGTTCAGGGTAAGGGGGAGTATTCTGAAGGGGATTAATGGCAACGTCTTTTATTGTAATGAATTTTAAAAAGTTGAAATGTTCACTGTGTGTGCGTGTGTGTGTGTGTGTGTGTGTGAGTGTCCTCTTCACCAACAGGAAAACAACTGAGGATGTTGTTTTAAATGTCCGCTAGCGTCTAGATTAGATAAAGGACGTAATCTGATGGGATTATGAATACAGAGGGCTCCCATGTTTTCACCCAATGCACATCAAAAGCACAACTACTATCACATAGAGGTGGAGGCCACTGCTTCACGTCAACACAAGGTCCTCAGGCTTAAAAACAAGACTGCAGGCTTCAGCACTTCTGACTTTGGGCTGGGCATAATCAATGGGCCAGGAGTATCACCACGTATCGTGTGCGGAAACACGCACAAAAAGCAACTGAACTGTGATGCGTCAGAAAGATCTTCTGTAAACCTCAGTAGAAACAATCATCTCCCTCACCTGCAGCAGTGTAAAGCAGGTGAGAAAGATCCTGCTTGGACTATTTATTACCCATTGATAAGCTGCATCGCACTGACCTAATGGTTAAAAAGAAAAAAGTCAAAGTCTCATTTATGGTTTAACTAGAGACAAGAAGGGGTCTGTCAGCACAAAATCAAATGTTGAAGCGCTGGCAATGCCAGCAGTACGCGTTTAACATCATTTTCCATTACAGAGTAGGAGTAGAGGTTTCTACTTCCCTAGAATTGAAATCCACCAGAATGTGAGGAGAAAATCAGATGAACATAAATGTTACAACTTCAACTGATCCCAAATGTAAATGTACTCCTCAAACTACTTTTGATAAAAACGAAACATTTAGCTGACTGACTGAAATACCTTCAACTAGTGCTAAGCAGGACAAACAACAAAACACCTTTAGACAGGGAGGACATAGCTATAGCAAATTTAGCATTTTTTCAAAAGAATTATTAAAATCAATTTGCTGTCACAGAAAACAAGATGTTCTCACATTTTGGGGTAGGAATGTTTATACTGGGAGTAAGCTATATGTAATTTAAAATCTTTTGTGGAAATCCAAACAATTTTGTACTCAGACATTATCATAACCGTTAGGGTTACACTGAATGACAGTGTTTTAAAGTCAACTTTTCACACCACCAGGCAGTTATGCAGGACATCACATTTGCTAGGAAAACCTGCGGACACCAAGCTTTCCCTTCCCCAGTGAAGACCGAGATGAATTCTTCTGAGACACTGATTTGCACCATCTCCAGAGCCCATGCCAGGCGAGTTTATTTATACAATCTCAAAGTCTCTGTCAATTCTGCTCCAGAAGTTTATCTGCAATCTTGGCTTAGGTGTTATTTTTTTTCACTGTCTTTACAACATGCTCACTTTTTTTTTCTAAAGTACATAAAGACAGATGAAGATGGGGACTTAATTTAAATAAATACAAAAAATCAAGGGGAGATCAGGTCTGCGTAAAAGCTCTACTTCAATCCTCAAAATAATTCTTTTAAAAAGTGGAAGATGGTTCTGCTGCCTGCTTCGCAAATGCCAGGTCCCGAGTTCGATTTCCAATACTGTTGGGGAGGGGCGTGGAAGAAGAAAACGCAAAGATTTTTCCCTTCTACCCCATATTGTTTTTAGTAACTGAATAAAGAAACTAGTTTTATTTTTTGTATGTTTTTTTTTTTGAGACAGTCTCATCATGCAGTTGAGGCAGACCTGGAACTCACTATGTATGTACTCCAGGCTGGTGTTGAACTAACAGTGATCCTCCCGCCTCAGCCTCCAGAGTGCTAGGATTACAGGCATGTGCCACCACGCCTGGCTTATGTGTTTCTTGAGACAAAGTCTCATTATACCTGTTCAGGCTGGCCTTAAACTCACTTGTTTGTAGCCCAGGCTTGCTTCGAAAACCCATGGCAATCCTCCTGCCTCAGCCTCCCTACTGCTGAGATCACAGGCGTGTACCACCACAGCCAGCTCTAAGTGTAGTTTTAGTACTGAATACCAAATGATGCCAAAGGACTAACACTACAAGGAAAAAAAAGTATTAACAGTGTTCAAAATAAATTGGAAATACGTCAAATTTTGCTTTATCACCTTGATTTTTTTGGGTACTAGGGATAGAACGCGGGACCTTGTGCTTGTGAGGCAGGTGGCGGAAACAATGAGCTAAATCCCCAGCCCTATCACATTAAAATTTGACACTGCTAAAAGATTACCAAATTTTCATTTTGATATTAAGGAATATATAAGGAAATGGGCACTGCTACTTTCTACGTATAAATAGGACCCAAACTGTCATGAACCCAGACCAAGTCTAGACTCTACAGAGTGGGTAAATAACTATATAAACAAGTAAAAATTTTAAAAAGCCAAATCTGGTGAGTTCACAAACTGGGATCCAACGTTTATAGAATCAAAGATCAGAGGATGTGCGCAGCACAACCAGAGACCCAAAGGCCCGGCAGCAGAGCCGAGCACCCAGGTGGCCGGGCTCCGCAAACCTCAGTCCAGCCTGTGTTACACTAATTCTGGATCCTGAGAGGTTACAGAGCAGCAGACAGCGCAGACCTGAGCCGCACCTCTACCTCTCACACTTCCACCTCCAAAGGGCCTTCCGAGGAACCCAGAAGTCTGAGACGAGCACAGAACCACTGAGCGGGGGCCACCTTGCGCACTTTACAAACAGGAAACCAAGGTCCTGTGAAGCTGAGCAGTTTGCTGGAGTGAACGCAGGTAGAACAATAATGACAGGACGGGCAGCAGCATTGTGTTCGCTGTTCTTCCTGCTGTGCATCAACTTTCCTCCTCACTTCTCACGCGACCTCCCCACTCCCACTACTGGCCACATTCCTGGGTGTCTGTTTTTTCAGAGCAGCAATGCAAATGTGATGCTTTAATAATTCCACACTTGCTGAGTTCCCTAAAGGCCTGTGTGGTATTTGTGATTAAGACGAAGAGGCAATCCTTCAAGTATCTTAAAGTTGGGGCGTGTAAACAAGAACCCCAAAATAGCAACTTTACTACAAAGCGATAAATGCAGAAGTACCACATGGTGATATCCTTGAAGGTAAGTAAGATACAGGGTCCCATGAACTAGCCGGACGTAGTGGGCCACTGTGTAATTAATCCCCACACTCTGGGAGGCAGAGGCAGAAGGGTCACAGCCAGGCCTTAGCAATTGAGTGAGATCAGGTCTCAAAGAGAAAGAAAAGAGCTGAGCGCGGTGGCACATGACTAGAAGAAGCCCAACAGTCAGGAGGCTGAAGCAGGAGGATCACTGTGAGTCAGAGGTCAGCCTGGGCTATAGTGAGTTCAAGACCAGCCTGAGCTACATAGTGAGACCTTGTCTTAAAACACCTAAATAAATAAAAATAAATGGTGGGGGGTGTGCAGATGTAAGGGCAACAGCCCTGGATTCAGCCTCCAGTACCACCACCACCAAAAATACAAATCAAAAAGGTTGTTCTTCACTGTCATCCTAAGTGTTTCACATACAAGGTGTAGCTCAGTCTTTGTGATTATTCTCCGAGAATGAACGTGCTATTATTCTTCATTTTACTGAGAAGAAAACTGAATCTTAGGATGGCTACCTTGCCAAAGGTCTTGTTCCTAGGAAGTAAAAACAATCATGGACAGGTATTTGAAAATAAAACTGAGAATTATTAAGACTATATATTACCTTTCTGGACATCTTTTAACACTATTTTATATATTTGTGGTAGACTAGTCACAAATACAATGTTTAAAGAGACCGTAGAAATTATGCAAAGATATTATTATAAATGTTTTAAAAATACTTGAATATAGAATCTGTATGGGTCTTTGAAAGTGTAGTACCTCAAAGAAAAAATAACCATGTTTCATATCTACACTTCTCAGGAGAGCAGCAAATATAAGAAAAACATATTTATAAGTACGTTTTACTTTAATTTGGTGAATGATCTTTTAATGTCATGCTTCTCCACCTCTGAGACAAAATTGAGTCTCAGAGTGTTACGACAGTTAAAAAGCATAGCTTATTAGGTAAGAGAACACCTTCTGGTAAACAGGATTAAACACATAAAACAAGAGGCTCAGAGGGTCTAAGAAGGTCACACTTAATACACACTATAAAGTCACAGGCCAGGCTGAAGGTAAGTGGCTAAAGAGAGAAAGGTGCATTTCCCCAACTCACTGCACTAAAGTAATAATAAGACCCTTCAATAAGAACATACAACATTATTTGGTTACCTAGAAAAGTCAAGTGCTGCCCACAGGAAGATTGGTCTAAAAGGCAAACAGTAAGAGGCACAGACAATCTAGGTTTTTAATCTATGATCACAGTTTAAAAATGATGTAGTACACACAACAGTTTCACAAAACAATGCCTTTATTCACTCAGGTATAGTCAGATAATTTCTATTTTAGAAG